GTATGTAAACATGGTTGTGACGTTTAAGAGTCGCGCGTATTTTTGAGAATTATTTTATAAAAGCAATAGGGTACTTTTTCCGTGTTTATATAGCCTCATCTAAACACTCGGGGGTTGGGAGAATTCTCGAAAGTTATGCAAACCCTCGACTACGTCTCGGGTTTGTATATATAACTGTCTCGAATTCTCCGAACCCTTCTCGTGTTTAGATGAGGCTATGCAAACACGGAAAAAGTGTTCTATAGCTTAAATACTGTACAAAGTAAAAACCCTCCAGTAAGAACTTAGATTTTAAGACCCTGCTAGGCTAAAATTTGCCAGTTAGAGCCCCTCTGTACAAGAACCTGTTTAGCCTAAAATTTCAAACAAGTTCTTATTTTCTAAATCATAGGTAACTTATAGGTAATTTGATTAAAGGAATAAGCTGAAAACCACTAAATTTGAAAGCTTAACTGAAATTATTTTCTTAAGAAAATAAGAACCCATTTAAGAACCTAAGGAGCCTAAATGTTTGTTGGATACCATTTATGTAAGAGCCTGTTTAGCCTAACTTGGGAAAATGCAGGTTCTTGCTCGTGGGTTTTTACTGTACTTGACAGCCAGGAAAGGTTGCCACAAGTGTGGTGGTCTATATGCAAATTATCTCTTCTGTATCTTGTTTGTTTGAATACAGCTGATATTTGTTTACCCTGTTGCTTGGTTTCTGATGTAAAATATGACCAAAAGGGTCATTTTAATGTGATCTACACAGTTGTGTTGCCGTGATCAAGTATTGAATGTTGTTTTGGTTCAGTCACTACATGTTTGGTGTAACATACTGACATATTACAACATAAATAACATAAATCTGGAAGGATTCCAACATCCCTGGTCGTTGCTAGTGAAACGGTGTTAAAGGCATTGGGAGCGTTTCTGTTGATGGTCTTATCGATAATGGTGATAAAAGTAGCTTCTTCTAGAAAAAAACATACCCAATTGAAGATTACCATGCAGAAACCATACCCCCAAAACATTCCTTCACAGCGAAAACTGCTGAAAAAAATACTAAATTTATTAATTTGTTGTAACATACATGTTTTATTTTACAGATCAAAGAGTGGATATGTTGGACTGGTTCAGCAAGCTCACGCTCGAAGTGATTTTATGCACTGCTTTTGGTGTGGACGCCAACATTCAGCTGGGAGAAAATACGGAAATGTTGGAGAATGCGAAAGCACTGTTCCAAACCCCGGGTATCCTCCGACAGTTAGCCCGCCTGCCATTTGGCAAAGCATTCCTTAAGCTGATGGCATATCTATCCGGCAACAAACCGCTTTATTTTCAAGGTGTTGCGAAAGAGATCATAAAATCCCGTCGCCAGCAGGGGCTGACAGGACGGAAAGACTTGCTCCATCTCATGATGATCGCCAACGAAGAGACCACGGTGGAAGGAGTCAGCAAACTTTCTGATGAAGAGATTGTAGCCCAAGCAATCCTCTTCCTTCTGGCTGGTTACGAAACGTCAAGCAACACGTTGTCGTTCACTCTGTACTACTTGGCCGTGAATCCAGATGTGCAAGACAAGCTGAGGAAAGAGATCACGGAAGCCATGGAGTCCAATGCCAAGATGCCATTGTACGAAGTGGCGCAGAGTATCGAGTACCTTGATTGCGTCATCATGGAGGCTCAACGCCTGTATCCGCCGGCTGCACAAGTCAACAGAGAATGCTCTGAAGATTATGACCTGAATGGAATCCACATTCCAGCTGGAACGGAGATAGTGATTCCAATATATGCTCTCCACCATGACCCTGATGCATGGCAAGACCCCGAGAAATTCGACCCCGAGAGATTTCGCGGCCCCGCCAAGGACGCTCGCCATGCCTTTCAGTTCCTACCGTTTGGTGCTGGGCCCAGGAACTGCATCGGGATGAGGTTCGCCCTGATGGAGATCAAGATCGCACTGGTGAGAATTTTGACGAAGTATAAGTTTGTGCAGTCACCGGAGACACAAGTACCGCTGATTATACACCCTGGCGGTACCCTGAGTGCAAAAGGCGGCGTTAGAGTTCGGGTGGAAACTGTAATTTAAACTGAATCAGTTAGTGTAATCTATGCATAAAAAAAATGATTTGCGAAGGTGCAAACTGAAAGATAAAAACACATTTTCATAGTGGTCTAACATATATTCCTAGAAAGCTACAGCTGTTAAAAAGAAATGCCTGTCTCTCCTTGTAAAGCTAAAATTCAAATTCAGCAGGAGGTGAGGAAAGTAGGACAAGCCAAGCCCCTTTTCGAGAGAAGCTTAGCATTGAACTACTTTTTCGTTAGTGTAATGTAAGAAAACACGATTACCAAGTTACCTGACATAGTTTTGTCTTGGAGAATAATTTATTGTTTAGGCAGTGTTGTGTAAAAGTCGCGCCTTTTCGTCAGAAATAAAGTTTATTTATAAACGCACGTTATCTTATTACCTTGATTATTTTGACCTCTTTGGTCAGCTTAAAACATTATAATGTGACATCCAAAATATACTAATCTCGGCTACATAAATGAGCTAGAGCAACAGTAAGCTTATATAAAACGCCAGGAATATGCTGCTCAGGTTTAAAGAATCCTCCCCCTCCCCCAAACGCCTTCTCAAAACTCATGAATAATTCGACAGGTGTTAACATAGGAAATCATGACCGTCACGATGTTTCATGTGAATATCTGATCTTAATTCGCATAGCTTTTTACGATTTTATTTCTCCGTTTTCTCCTTAGTTTTAGTTTCGATTGAGAAGATATATCAATCAGGACCGTGTTTAACCGTATTTCTAAATACCTCGAAGTTCGTCAAAAATACTCCCCTGTACGTCGTATTTTCAACTCTCTTTTCGGTGTTTGGATGTCGGATCTCAATTCGCATAGATTTTACGATTTTATTTCTCTGTTTTCCCCTCAGTTTTAGTTTCGATTGAGAAGATATATCAATCAGGACCGTGTTAAACCACATTTCCGAACACTTCGAAGTTCGTTAAAAATACTCCCCTGCGCGTCTTATTTTCAACTCTCCTGTCGATGTTTGGAATGTGATCAAACACGGTCTTTTGTTTTTGATGTAATATATCGAACACGAGAGACAGAGTCTCATCGGGATATCCAAACACCGAGAAGAAAGTTAAAAATACGACCTTCCTTACGATGCACAGACAGAATTGTTGAACTTAAATGAAGCTGTGTGACAGATCAAATATTTTTACCGAACATGAAGGAAACTAATTCTTCATTTAGCCCGCTGATCTGCCTACAAATGCGATACTTGGTGGATGACAGCCCTGGCCATTGATCCATGCACTTCCTCTTACTGAAAACAGACAACTCTCGACAACGGAATCTAGCAACAAGACGACCAAAAGGAGTCCTTAAGCTCCTTTATGAATTTTTACTCAAACATGTCATGGCCGTTATCCGCATAGGGTTCTTAAAACAACGGTGATTTAGTTATTAATTACACTCTGACCAGACGTCTGCATTTGACTTTATTTGTAGAATTGACCAAGGAAGCTTATAAGATCGAACAGGCAATTTCAGAGTAACAAAGATGATGACAGTGACAGAGGCAGTGACAGTGAGAGAGACAAAGTGTCGGCTACAAACAGTGACAATGGGAGTGTCATCAACAGCAACAGTGACATTGACAAGACAATGACAGTGACAATGGTAGTGACCACAGAGAGAGAGACAGAGAGACAGAGAGAGGGGCAGTGTACGTGGAGGTGACAATGACAATGTCCGAGATAGCGAGGAATGACAATGGCATCGACAGGAGTAGTGACATTAAAGATAGCGACGGTTACACTAAAAGTCTGACAGTGGCAATAAGAGTGGCAATGACCTAGACATTGACAACGAAAACGTGTTAGGAGAGGATTTACCGTTTTTCCGGTCATTCTTCATTTAACCACGTTCGGAGTTTCTTACTCTCACTCGGATTTTATTCAAACTGAACTGTGTGTTGTCTTTTTTTTTTCGAATTTCGCTTTAGCTGCGTTGTTTTTATATATATTCATTTTAGAAATTGAACCTTATACCTTTGTACAAATTGCTCTTCATAATTTTTTTGTTCGATATTCGCACTGGGGCCAAGTACGTTCCTTTTATGGGGAGGTTCTCGCTGTTTTCCGTCACTTAGTGCAACGAAGAAATTACGGAAGAAAGCAGAATTTTTAAGTAAGGATCACGAACTTTGAAAAGAATAATTTAAGAATCTTTTGCCGTTTCCATAGGTGGGTGTATTTACTTAACTAGCAACATTACATCCTCGACATTAACGAGTGCGGAATATGTGAGCCTGCTCGCAGGCAAAAAAATGGTTTTATTAGACTTCTCCTCCTGTCATCGCCTTGTCGCTAACAGCTTCGCCTCTTTACTAATTAAATAAATCGGACCAATTAAATTTGAGCGGAAAATCATATTTTTTTATCTTTGGGTTCATATGCGATATGTATACGATACGATAACTTTCTTTATACACGGGTTTCCATCAGTCTATTTATGATAATTGGCTAGCTACCTATCTCCCTGACGTCAAAAACAGAATATAAATTCCTCCAAAAAATAAAAAAAGGTACTATAATAAAGTGTATTATCGTTTGTCTCACGATGTAGTCACTTGAGATGTAGATCGCGACGTTTCGACTGCTTACTGCCAGTCTTCTTCAGGCGATA